AGGTAACCGATCGGATGAGGAATTGTTCAGGATTTACCTTTTTTAGCGCGTTCGCTGCTAGGTTCTGTCTCAGGCAAATTTACCACCACAGCCCAGATGTCTCATTGTGTCAGGACGGCAAATCAACGTCCTTCACTCTGTTTTCCCCTCTGGTCTACATCTTTTCGTTCTGGCTAAGTGCGTCAGGCATGTGTGACGCGCAGACTTGGTCTAGGAAGTCGGGGCATCACCCATACACGGCGTTTGTTCACATGTGTCCTGTCCGCAGGATGCTTTAATGATGACTTCACCTTAACCGTCGGCTTTTACGACGAAACAGAAATCAAAATTGGACGAAAAAGGCATAACAAGCTGCATTTTTGGGTGGCTAGAATCCATCAATTTCCCACTTCGACATACACACCGCGCCGCGAATCAGTTGTCACTCCCTTGGTCCCAAAGGAGATAATCTGGTGACTCGCCACGTGGAAGAAATTCAACTTCATTCGTCACTTGTACGCACACTTTTGTTACTACGCATGAAAGCCATTGTTTCTTTTTCATCTGTGAACTTTGCAAAACAATTTAGGCAGAAAAGTAAATATCCAATCCTATGAGAGCAAAGGTGTACTGAAATTATATCCATTCAGTATCACAAGGCGGCAAGGGTGTACTTGGAAGGATTTTTTTGCTTTCGTGGACTGTTAATGCCTCTGATCTGCGTCACTTCTGCGGGGGCGAGTATGAACAGTCAGGCTCTATCTTAAATGTCATGCCCGTCTGGGAACTGATTAATAAGGGTGGGTGAATGATCGAGCTTTAGACAGTAATGCAATGAATGTTATTAAACTCCCCCGCAGAATACAATCGTGCCTGTGACTGGTGGTCGGTGGGCGTAATCCTCTATGAAATGCTAGTTGGTCGACCACCATTTGTGGCTCAGACGGCGTTGGACACCCAACTGCGAGTGATCCAGTGGCAGCGCCACTTACGAATCCCAGGGGAGCCGAGACTGGCCTCTGATGCGGCTGATCTCATTCGTAAACTTCTCTGCGATCCGGAGGACCGGCTGGCCGATCCGCGTCTCATGAAGCAGCACGCCTTCTTTGATTCGGTCGACTGGGACAAGTTGCCCACCCAAACACCTCCCTATATCCCAACTGTAAGTGATATTCTACTTAGCTTTAAGATTAATTTGAGCTCCTTATAGTTCCGTTTGCGTTGGTTGGATTTTTTGAAAGATTGGAGGAATGACTTTTAGACATTGGCTCTTGTACTCCTTCACAGTCGATTTTGGATTGCTAATAGATGGTCCGAAGAGGTAGGGGATAAGTCTTGAAATGAGAAAACGGTAACGGAAAGCCCAACTGGCCTTTGATCTGTTTACGTAATTGTATAGACCTGAATGGAAAGCCAAAGTCGAATCAGTTTGAGGCCCTTCATCCATCCATAGCGTATTTATTTGCTCATTTAGTTGGATTCGCGTTCTAGTAGCAGATTCTGAATGAGATGTCAGGAATGAACATTCTTAAGTTTTTAGATTTTTCCCAAAGAATCCTCATCACAAGCACCCGTTATGAGTTTCTAACTACTATGGAATATGCTGTGCATTGGCAGATTCTGAACGAGCTGGATACGTCTAACTTCGATGCGGTGGATGAAGAGGCAGGTGGCGATGACCAAGCAAGCTCTCAGAGCAGCTGTGGCGGGGCTGGAGGCGGAGGAGGTACATTCGGACTAACTAGCGCGCCACACGCCTTTCCCGATTTCACTTTCAAGCGCTTCTTCGATCAGGATAACAACCCCACCACCTCGGAACGTGACGCCATCTGCTCCACCGGGGCGTGGCACCAAACCAGTGCGGTGCTTGTACCCTCCTCGTCCTACCAGTAAATTTGCGATTGCTGCTAATCCCTTCCCAACTCTCTGTACAGACCAAATCCGGCCCGATAAGCTATTCGCGCCTCAATAGTGACTTGACTTTCACCTCCTGTTATGCGCATCCACATACGATCAGGAAGGCACATGCAAGCGCTCATCTGTACAGCCTGCCAAATCTACAGTTGCAAGTAGATTTACAGCGCCGCTTTTCATAACTTCAAATGTGTGTGCGTTTGTGTCAATAAAATAACTTTCCCATTTTATTGCTAGGAATGATTACAGGCCCCGCTCCAAAGCCATTTGTTGTACCTCTGTAGTTTTCAAAATACAAGCCCTCTGTCTCAACAACAACAACGAATACAGTTAAACATTCATAATTACCCAAATCCACTTCTTCAATTAATACTAAAACGTCATTTTCATGATCAAAGGGAGATATCCACTACAACCCATTCGAAATCTTTAATGGGAATCGCATTAGGGGAGACAAGGGAGGCTGCGTGAGATCTAGGAGTCCAGGAACGAATTCGAAATTAACTGGCAAAACCCTAATGAAATTTAACGGGCCGAGTTAATTGAAGTTACCAACTTAGACGTAAATCCCTTCTGTCCGCCCGCCTGTACGGTTTTGGGGGAAAAAATAGTTATGAATGTCATGAAACATCTTTGTATTTTTCGGCCGATGGAGCACAGTGGAGAGGTGGCTGACGCCAGTTGTCGTCGACCATTTGCGGTAGGGGAGGACCTCTGACTCCTTCGGGAAAATAATTCCAAATATGGAATTTCGTTGAATGAAGGAAACGCATAGTAAGACGGGAAGATGACTACAATTGTCTGTTCAATGGTTAACGTATCGAAACCATGCAAGACTGGAAATACGAAGGTCCTGAAGGGAGAACAAATCTTGTGGAGCAGCTGTGGCTCCTGAGATGTCTGCCAAGTGAATCTGGAATCCCAAGCACTTCTGTGATGAATAGAGCCATGTGGTCAACTAAGCACGCTAATCTCTGGATGAGGCACTTTTACGTTCCCTCTCATTAGAAGTCATGTTAAACAAACGAATAGGGTGTCACATAAACCGGAAGGCGCAACTGCTTTCTGAACTTACAGATTTCAAAGTACAACTTCATTTAGTAGCTGTCATTCCGTAAATTCAGTCAAATGCAGAGGAGAAACACTCGCCGCCGAGACATGACTGTGTGAGCCAAGTCCTTGGGATCCATGGACCGGTCAGAATCTATCCCCCACTAGCTCAGGCAATTCAAACGACCTGCTGACTCCTTTGCCCAACTTCACCAAATATTTCACAAAAGGAAGACCACGCATGACAAAAAACTTTGCTTGATACCATGTGATGAGTTTGAGTGAAACCTAGTACCAAGTAGTCTGAAAGTTGCCTATCCACTAGTTTTATAGCAATCAACCAGCTACGTGAAAATTGTATGTCTTTTGCACAGATTGTACTAATTCCAGGGGTCTCCACTAGGTATTGTCTTTTGAAGGACACTCGTCACTCATCTACTGAATTTTTGTCAGCAGATGTAGTACGGAAGAGTGGCCAAGTGTGGAGGTTATTGTCAATTCCCGCCGTGTAAAGTTCCAGACGTTTTCGATTCCAAGCACAGGCCGTCATCTGTAAAATGAAAGAAGTCAAGCTTCGTGAGGTATTAGAATTTGCAGCTGTTTGACCAATGCTGTCACTGTCAGCTCTCCCCATCTAAAAAGCCATCTAAGGGAGTAGATCGTACGAAAAATAAATAATAAGAGCAATTAGTAATGGAGTGCCGTGCTAAACAAAACTAGGAGTGTTTGAAAAGGTGAAAGGATTGGGAAAAAAAATCAAAAAGCGCTAAGTTGGAAACCGGTATCAGAAAAGGACACGCTCGAGCCCTCCTTCCTTCCCCCAACCTACACATAAAAGTACACAAACCCCAATGACAACCCGAAGTTAAAAGCCATGAAACGGTTAATCAGCCGAATATTCGTCGGTATATCGACATAGGTCGAAGATTTGTAGATTTCTCCGCTTTAATGAATCGATTCATTACACAAAAATGAATTGGTGAAGCAAACAAATGATACAAAAATAAGGAAAATGAATGATGAATGAGGCCCAGAGTATTCAAAAGTTTAAGCGCCCGAAACCTCCAGCATATCCACTCAGTCAAACACTGACCCTATGCAATTAGAGAAGGGGCGGATGCATAGCACATAGCATTCTAGAACAGAACGTAATCAGTAGTATGAGAAACAATCTCTACGCTGGCCGCTGCTAGCGTCCCAATTTACAAATACAGTTATTCCAAAGCACTATAAAGTCCCCAAAGGTGAAGCAGGTGCTACAGTACCCTGGAGAAATGCCGTTTAATAGTCCATTGAGAGAGCACACTAGAGTCGTGATGATATGAACGCCTGTCGACAGAAGTGACAAGGAGAGTCTGATCGGTCGGCACGAAAACGAGCGCGCCCTCTGCACCCCAGGCATGGAAACGGGGGCCGATATCACCGTCGGTCACCGCGAGACGAACGCACCGCGGTGAGCTAATGTCGCTGCAGTGAAGATCGCTGACGCCGGCGCCAGCACCAATGCTGACAGCGCGATCTAGGGCGGCAGTGGCGACGCGTGGCTGTGCGGCAGCGCTCGAGCAGGGCGCCCCTCCATCCACCTCGAGGCCCCACACACGTAGACATGAGCCACCCCGAGCTCCCGTGCCGCCCCACGAGTAGAGGTGAAGGCCATCGGGACTATTTGCCATGCCCTTCACTCCACCGTTGTGCGCTACAGCTAAATAAACATGTTTTGGGCATTTATTTCATTTGAATGCGATTATATTTGATGTACTTAATATCAAAGCTGCAATAAACCGCAGTCCCCAGGATTTAGCGCTACCAGTTTCAATTCGTGTCGAAGGTGAGGCCAAAGTTAGACTGGAAAAAAAAAGTGAAATGAAAGAAAATGTTGCCGTATGAGAAAGGCAAAAAATTGTGCTGTTGCGGTCACTACCCCACCGAGGCACCTTGGTGAAAAACACGCTAAACGGAAATTCGGTGTTCAGGCTGCTTTTTCTGCCCTCAGCCTAAGACGGTGGAAATACTGTATGCAAATTGGACAATCGCTCACCGTCGTGCAAATATAGCGGCTCTTTATCCCTGTATTTATTGTTCAACGTAGCAACAGGCTTCAGTGGTACACGGATATCCCAAAAGATGATTCTCCCATCCTCACTAAAATCAACAAAAAAGACTGATGAGCGGGTGAGGAAGCACTTATTAACACCTCCTTTTTGTTCACTTTTATGTACTTAATTAAAGAAATGCGCGATGAAAGGCTGGTAGTAGAAATGTTATTACTAAGCTTATCTAGGGGTAGACTTCGCAACAAAGCGGCCTGAATGTCAAAGCGATCAGCAGAAGATAGTGAGGGCAGTTGGTCAAGTGACGTGTGGAGCCCCCCAGAAAAAAAAGAGGTAAATGGCAGACCCTGCGGTGAAGAGGATGAAGGAGTTGCGAGCCGACCAGAGGACCTGGGTGATGAGGGGGGCGGTGTGGGCGCCCAAGAGGCTGAGGCACGGTGCGCCGACGAGGGGATCAATGCAAACAAGGTGGCGATCGTAGCACCGCCGTAGCGACACTGCAATGAGATTGTGCTCCCTCGCGCACGGCGATAGCGCCGCCCACGTCATCGACTCCGGTGTGGCGATTACCTCCACGCACTGCCACAACCATGGATCAGTAAGGTGGAACATGATGAATTTCGCATGCCAATAAGTGATATAATCTATTTCTGATATAATTGCTAATGTACGCAAATCATTCATCTCTAAAGGCATTCATAGTACACATTAGAGGAGTGCACAATAATGTCCTTTATCCAAGCCTTCGTTCAAGTTAGTGGATACAGCCTACTACGATGCTAATTTAATCTGATTCAAGAGTCGATTCCACATCTTAAAGCAAGGTAACTCAGCAGACAAGAATGGGTGGTGTAGACACAAGAACATGTTCATAAGCTTTAAAGATAGCAAAGAACTATGGAATTGCGATTTGCTTGGGTGTTTGAGTTATGTCGAGGCTGATATTTGTTGAACATTGTCAATCCGTTTTGAAAAGTGCAGAATATCAAAAAGGGGGAGGAAGAGGAGAAAGTAAAGTCCCCTTTTCGTACTAAAACAGCTATAATGATAATTTATTCTACGGAATAGTTCAAAAAGATCAAGTCTCAGGCACTCAAACATCCAATGCTATTCAATTGCTATCCAATGACTCGAATTAAGAATTAGAGTATGTCAAGCATAAATAAACACATTCGATCCTTCTACCTTCCATGGGAAAAATTCTGCATCCAAATATACGAAACCATACACGAGTTTGATCAGCGAATCACCCAGCCTGACTCAGACGCGGCGACAAGCTCACCTCAGCCGTATTAGTGTCCCAAACCTTGAGTGTGTTATCAACGGAGACACTGAAGAAGCAGCCCGTGTCCACGTGGTTCCACTGGAGGCACACGGACTGACTCAGCCTACCATCTCCAGTGCCAGAGGGATTGTGCTGTGAGGAGAGGAGGGTGGGCGGCACAGAGGTGAGGTGAGCGAGGACGGGAAACACCAACGAAGGACTGCCGCTGTTAGTCTCGGTGGGGGCCTGTGTGTCGTAAAGCAGCAGGCTGCCATCACAGTTAGCCGAAAGAAGGCTATTGAAATGGGAAGAAAAATCCGTTGTGAGATTCACAGAAGCAATGACAGACGCCACTCCGCCTGATATTTACTCCTTCCATTAATTACGACCCATTAATTTTGCTGAAAACGCCACTGTTTTCTTCCTGAGAATCATTAAATTACGATAGCTTTGAAGTACGCACCTGAGCCAAGTGGCGCAACCTATCACATAATGGAGCACCCGGCTTCTTAGTAGATGGGATGTGATCCCCACAAGTTCGAGTTCAAGGGATTCTCTAGGCCAATAAATGACACTAACTTGAGTGCAAAGTGGCCCCAAAATGTGGGACTCAAATGACGCCCCTAACACCACCAATAACTTGAACAACAGCAGGCAACACCAGTAATTCAACAAATGTTCCTCAATCCAACCTGATGAAACACGTACTAGCGCGACTCGATTGTGTCTAACGCGATATCTGCCGTCGGTCCACGATAATTTTCCTCGAACTTGATTGAGTAGTCAACATCAAAATGACTGAGATCGAGGCGGTGCTCCAAGTACTCTTGAAAGGCCAGAGAACGCGGCTTAAGTCCGTACTCGAAATCCAACTGGGATAGGAAAATTGTTATAGTCTCCTCACCGCTTCTCAGGCAGTAAAAAATGGCAAGTCATTTGAAGCAATAGAGTTTAATTTGAAAAAAAAGAAGGAAATCAACAGGTCACAGCAAAATACAAAACACACAAGACGAAAGAAGGTACAAGAGAGTGGGGGATATCACTTGGAGGAAGTATTGCCCCCTCGGGAGGTGTCACAGATAGCGTCAACGATCTGAAGATTCGAAAGGAAGGAAATTACAGCACCTTGTGACAAAAATTGACTAAAAGGACGAACAAAGGCTCACGCTATCGTCCATCAATTGTGGCTCTACGCAGCGTTGCATGACACTGTACATCACGTCATCGAGCACATTCTGCACTTCCCTAAAAGCCCCGCCAAAAAAACATTTAAACTCGCCGTTCGAAAACTAGCCCTACATATGAGATTATTTGTTTACGAACGTTTCGGAAAAGGAACATCTGGGAACCTACCTCTCATCACTGACGAATCGCCAGAGGTGGATGTGCAAGTAGTGGCAGTCGACTTGAATTTGCTGGAGGCCGAATTTCCCGAATGTCCGCGTTCTTGCGCACTCACTGAAGGCCTGATAATTCAACCGATAAGGAGATCAAAGGACATCAAGCAATAATAATAAGCATAGGTTGTCAGCCACGAAAAAGGGAGATTTTGTGAGTTGACAAGTGACACAAATTCGATATCTTCCATTCAAAAAGCTATTTTTGGGCCCGTCACCTAATTTTGACTTCTTTCACTCCTGTATAAGTAAAGTCAAATCACACCATCTCCCACAGCTAAGCAAATCACTTTCGCTATTGAGGCTAAACCTAGTTCCCTAGAGTTCTTTGAAACAGCAGTAAGACCTTTACAGTGGACTGACTCACTTTAAGACCAATCTTGACCACTCCAAAGAGGATGGACTCGCGTGTCGGTTTGACAGGAGCAAACACGTTCACACGTTGATGAAAGAGACGTCGAAGTTGACTAGCCAACGCTGGATCATACGCCGGCGAGGTAATAGCGCCGTGCTGCTGTGAGGAGCCCAAGGCGCCAGCAGCAGTAGTGGGAAGCGCAGCCAGACCTCCCACCGTCTGTCCACGAAGATGAGACATCGAGGAGCGCCAGGAGTACCGACCCTCCACCGATCCACGTCCACCCTCCTTTCCTACCCGACCACGTCCGGTCGTCGAAGGTGGAAGCAACTGACTCACCTTTTACGCAAGTAAGTTGATTTTCACCAGAATAACGTAAAAAGATGGTGAGAGTGGAGACGGACACGCACCTGGAAGTCGATGTTAGCGAGATCTTCGAGGATGCGTCGAATCACGGAGCGGACGGTACGCGGTTCGAGACAACGCAGCCAATCGCGGGCCTCGACGGACTTACGCATCATGTGTGCAAGCTGAGCACCCTCGAACTTGGCGAAGGTGGTCAGGAGACGCGTGGCCGTGGTGCGAAACTCCTCTGCCAGTGGACCCGGCGGAGTTAGAGGTTGCTGCCGAGTCGCCAGCATCTGTTGAATGGCCTGCTGGTGTGACTGAACTGAGGCCGAGGCTACAATGCGAAGCAATGGGAGAGGGAGTTAGCTAAAAGGTCCATTTCCAATGGTTGTAATCTATTCTCTGCAAAGTCGACAGTAGTGATGACACTTCCATGGCCCTAGAAACTCGCTCATGGAGAATCGTACTTGGTTTTCAAAAAATGGCATTAGGATCACAAGGGATTCTAGGCATGACTTTAACGTAAGGAAATAGATTTCCTCTTACAGGTAAATCTTACACCCACATATGTCTCAGGTGAATATAATCACGGTAGTTTCTTCACACAGTTTACAACTATGTGCCCATTAAGGAGTTTGAGTCATCAGAAGTTTTTAATCAGAAAGATGACAAGGAAGTGTGAAATAATGGGAGAGTACTAAAAAAAGTATACGACGTAGAATCAAAATGCGTGGTATTGGCTTACATTTTGGGAGACCAATGAGAAGAAAGTCATCGGCCATGCTTAGCAAATGACCGATGGTACCGGAATTGGCCCAGTCGAGACAAAGTTTTCCCATCAGTAAAATTATGCTTCCTGGAATACTGGAGGGCGTACACTGCATAAAAAATACCATAAAATATCAAGTATAAACATTCAGATGTAAGAGTGGAATAAGGCGCTTGATTTGGCAGTAGCCGTTTACTCGGTTTCACTGATTCAAGCGGTAATTTAAGTTCTAATGGTGTTAAACTATCGGGTGATACAGTAATTGTGCACACCACACCTTTGAAAGCTCCTTGCAAAATTGGATGAGGAAACGGAGGTAGGCAGTGACAATATCCTCTCGGATGTAGTCCAAACAGAAGGTAGCGCGGAAAAGTTGGAGATGAGCAAAGGTATTATCGCTTGATAAGAAGGGCTGAGTGAAGAGGAATTTTAACGAAGTAAATTAACTCAATCGAGAGAATAAGAGAACTGTCAAACTGTAACGCAAATCTACCTCCAACTCCTCGAGGCAGTCACGAAGGTTAGTCGCCAAAATTCGGCTCATTTCATTGTAGATCTCTGTGAGCGTCTTCCTGTCACCCTCATTTTCACTAGAATTAATAAATTAAATGGTGAACAGGGTGAGGCTGTGAGTCAAATATCTGAATATTCAATTCATCAATACACGTCTAAAACCAACAAGGGTAAATGGGGCAATAAGGCAAGAAAAGCGAGAATTATTAGTAACATTCGATGAAAGAAATCCACCAACCATCGCTTTCGTAGTAATAGCTGAGTCCCCCTGTCTGCACCAGAATGAGGCACTTATTACCGGAGGGATGTCAGATTACTTAGCTTACATTAAAGACAGCACATCATCCGGTTCATTTGATAAGAAACTTTCTTAGAGCCAACTCATGAACAACGAACTCAATCATACCTCAAAGGTAATGGGCGAAACTATCCAGATATCCAATTATTAAACAAACCACTGAAATCTACCTCTTGGCCCTTGCATTACCACCCCCTCATAATACCACCAGAGGTTTATCTGCCTCTAGCATTCAACATATAATAAGAGTTCTCGAATAAATACTTGTTCGTTGGTTTGGAGCAGACATTCGTGACGAGGTAATGCCTGATGTCAGTCAGGCAGTCGGCAGTCTGCAGCTTAAGACAGGCAAACTGTTTCTCACGACAACACCTCGCGGCCACAGCCAATACCATGTTCAGGGAGGCCTCATCGAGACTTCGCTTGAAGTTGTTGGCCGCTTGGGAGGAAGACTCGTTCGGTGGCACGACAACTTCCAGAACGCTACGTCCGAAACCCACTAGTCGCGCATAGAGGCGCTCCAGAGCTCGCACCAGCAGACTTATCTCAGTGGACTGAACCTTAACAAGTTAAATATGGATAAATAATGCAGGAAGGCCTCGGCTTTTGCTCTTACAACTAGGAATGCAGTTGATTACTAGCATATTCATAAATTCCTTTCAGTATAAGCTCATCGGCTTATAAGACTTACGGAGCAAAATTATAAATAGGAATTTAAGCGAGTAGAACAACTGGAATAAGACCATGTCCTATTAAAACATACCAGTTAGTGAATGGAACGTACAGTATTTCAACTTAGAAACTAAACATCGAACTCACTCCGTCTTGCATCTTCTTGTCAATCAGGGCAATGAACTTCTGGGTCAAACTTTGGAGAAACTCAAAAAGAGGAGTCTCGAGGTTATCTTCTGAATGACTATCCCTGGAGGAGGGAGGAAAAGGAGGAGATAAGACTTTCGCTCTGTCACTGTCAAGGTTCTGTATCGCAAGGCGGCAGCTTAGTCTTGCTAGACCAAACGCACATTGAGGGTAGGACACGAAATCAGGCGGCGAAACAATTCAAGTAGGAAACAGCGTTTATTCCAGTAATTAAAAAAAGGAAAACCGGAAACTTTTAATTGAGCGAGTCGACATGAGTTTCGCTCAGTAAAAGACAATTGTGCTTCAAACAACAGGAGCAAAGGAAAAAGGAAGGGGAACAAAATTGCCAAAAAGAGTACCAATTACTATTACTAATTTACAACTCTTTTGAACGACTGTGCATTCAACCAACCCTACTCGTGGATGAGGACAAACCTCGATGACAGAGTTGCGTTGCTAAGAAAGCGGCTTGAATAGGCAAAGACGTAGGATAGTGCCCCTTCGGAAATCGTATCCGCCGCTGCATTTGCAAAATTCAAAAGGTCCTACAGAGGGGAATAAAGAAACTTGAAATCAAACCATTTTGGTTAATGCATACGTACAAGGAAAATGAGGTAATCGTTAAATTCAACATGGTTACGGGAACCTCAATGGAATGCGTCTTGGGCAAATTGGAGGAGTGATAACGCGATAATGTGCACTATGTGAGAATGATTTCCTCAGCTTGAACTCGGGAAGGGAGCCTCACCTACGGTATTACACATGCTCAAACCCCACCCTTTCTGCCATCCCTAGTATGCATAAAGAACTTTTCTCAGATGTGAATCAAATAAGCTATTTGACACTGTTGATGAGGCTAGACTAATTCATCTCATTTGATTCATGCCATAAATTTCATCACCAAGTGTGCAACGTTGTAGCGGAAACCAGTACTTGTCTCAACTTATGGCCATCCCAGAGTTACCACATACTCCCTTACACACCAAGTTTTATTCCTGAGAACACGCGATACGAGCATGCGAGAGTCCCCAGTTTTTGTAGTGGGACCAATAAATTAGTTATAAACCTAATAACAACTGCTATCCATCCTAAGGAGCCGACACGTCAGAAAATATAAGACAAAAAAGCATGATGAGAGGTGTGAACGCCTTACAGGCACAGACGACTCTACACTTTCCACATCTTGCGGGGAATCCAATTTCTCAAACAGCGAGTCGATGCAGTGTGAAGCTCTGCGACAAAGGAAGCATAGAAGTCTAATATTAATTGCTTACACTTGAATAAACTTTTTTGACAATTCTGACATGGGCTGTCCGAGTTGCATCAGAACCTCAATTGACGTGGTTAAAGTCTGCGAATCCTCCTGAATTGAAGAAAAATTGTTCTATACAAGTAACTTTCCACTATTCAAAACAAAAAAAATAAAATTTTAACTGGTCATATGTACCGATATACCAAAACAGCGCTATCGCCTGAAGCATTCATGCGTAGATCAAGGCATAGAATTTGCATATCTATTCGTAAATAATATATACCGTATGCGAGGGTCTATTTTGACATATACCTTTATCAATAGGAGTGGAGTTAAAAGAAGGTATGCATTAGAATTGAGCTAAAAACTCTTTTACCGCCGAAAGTAGACGAGACTCCACCTCTTTGACAACTTCACTGATCAGCTCTGTGCATTCCTTATCTATGCCTTTAAAAGATGGAATGTTGCGATGTTTCTCGAAAAATCCACTCGCTTTAATATAGGCGTCTACCGCTTTGGTCCAATCCTCCTTTTTCATGAACTCTCTAATCTTTGACGGCAGTGAAGACAAGTACCCTAGCTAAACGGGGATATGGTAAAGAAAAGGAAATATCTTTACTGACCCTCCGCAAATTTTCAGCTGTTGTTACCAGTTTCCTGATGGCTGTGCTTGACTCACGAATTTCTTGGTCGATCTCACTAGAATAAAGTTGTATCTCAACCATGCTCTCAGCAAGGGAGTTCATTTCATCTTCAATGAATTTAAAGTTAGACTTCATCTAATAAGGAGTTAGCTGCTCAGGAAAAAGGTAGCACAATTTACCATTTTGATTGTGTGTGTGGCATTTATGAACTTGTTATAATTATCGTAAACAAGCGTCTGCATTTCGGAGTCAAGAGAACGAATTTGTTCAGATATTTCTGTCTCTTTAGCCAACAAATCGTTCAGATCACATTTTTGGAGGAGATCATTTAGGTACTCCCTTGGATCGAAGCCCACAGAATCAATGTTCTTTGGATCGGGAAGAATTTCAGTTACTTCATCAGCCTTAGATTTCGGACCGTAGAACTCAAAAAGGCGTTTCTTTCGCTGCAATCGATCTTCTGAGTCTACTTGCATCTAAAACAACGATGTTTCAAAATAGCCCCAAACATTTAAGTGGGCACAAGTCGTGTTGCAACAGTAGTAACCTAAGGCCGACCCCTAAAAACAAAGTCGGGCACGTATTGATCTAGTAAAAGGATGCAGATATAAGGTAAATAAGGGTAACAATCAAGGTCCACCTTCAAGAAACAAGAAAACAGACGAATAATGTGCGCGGCCCACCTACTTGCAAGGTCCTCCGACAAATTCCTAACTTTGTCGGACAGTGGTTAGTTCCTGGGCTGGTTAAAGGTGTGAAGCTAGGTGGAATGATGTGATTAATCAGTAAAAAACATTTAAGCAATTTTCGACTTTTTCTACATTTAAAACCTACTACACGTTGCAAATTTATTGAGCAGGTGCTTGGTTCTTGTAGCATTTGTCTATCAACGTTACATTTGCCACAAAACATCATAAATAATGTTCTGCATGCACTTTTCAAGAGGTATATAATTTTTTTTGACACAATCTTTCATTTTCGTACCACTTAAGAATTTGTTAAATAAGCGAATATGTGTTCACAATTACCGAAGTACTACTGGGCAGAAGAAGCGCGCGTCACGTAAAGGTCGTGTTCGTAAATTGCGGATGTGGGGTATAACGATGCCGACAGATCCTCTACTTCTTAATGATTCCGTATGTAGAAGTTTTTCCTCGAGGTGTCGGCGTCTGTTCCACTCAGGCCCCATATTCGGGATGGGTCTCGTGATTTTCCTTACTCTCGCTAGTTTATCTGTCGTCATATCCACTTTTTTACCGTTTCGGAAGATTTTCGCCACAGCTAACGCCTTTTTCTGTGTGTTTTTATCATTCTACATTTTAAGAAGTTATGCCTTGGCTGCTTGGTTAGGTCCCGGCTTCGTAAAATTTGGATGGCAACCGGTTAGTTTATATTCAATGGACTTTTCACTTCCTTTAGCTATTTCCTAAAATAACTGCCTTCTGTTTTAGATCGATCCTAGAGATAAAGCGTTTCTACAGTTCTGTACTGTCTGTGATGGATACAAACCGCCCCGATCGCATCATTGTCATACCTGTGGGAGATGTGTTCTCAAAATGGATCATCATTGCCCTTGGATCAATGGCTGTGTTGGCCATCTAAATCACGGTTATTTTCTTCACTTCGTTCTTTCTGCACCCATTGGATGCTTGTACTGTTGCAGCCTGTGCTCGTATCGCATATACTTTGTTCTTACACGGGTATGTTCTGCCTATTCTGTCGTCTGTACTTGATAATAGGTTAATCAACATTTTCTCGTTTATCCTTCTTTTTAGTCGTACGCTTTGTATAGATTTGGCTATGATTACCGAATATTGTTCAACTTCTACGAAATTGCTATTTTGCTAATTGCTCTTGGTCTGGCATTCGGGGTTATCTTGGCTGTTGGTGGACTTGGTTATTGCCAGATGAAGGGCATCTTACGCAATAGAACTGTGATTGAAGATTGGATAATGACGAAGGTATGCTTGTACTGTATATTGTTTCGTAAATTTGACGTGGCGTAACACTATATAAAATTTAATCTTTAGGCGTCTGATCGGCGAGGTAGTGAATCAAATCCTAAGCCAATGGTCTACCCCTATGATCTGGGATGGAAGCGGAATCTGCTACAGGTTTCTGTGTTCACCTTATAGAATGTTGCCTCCTTTCATTTCAACCTCATCCGTTTCTATTTTTAATCTATTTATGCTATTTTATTCACCCTGCTTAGTAAGCAGCGAATATTTTGAGGCTTCTCTTTTCTGCTCACTTTTCAAGGTGCTAAGTTGGAGGGGGAACCCGGTAGGCGACGGGTATATGTGGCCTTTGAAGCCAGGATGCGGAACCTACGATCTTACTGTGAGTTTGTTCAATCAATCATTGAGATGCGCTGGCCAACTTTGGCGCAACTAGACGTTACTACGTAAAACTGTTGGCCTTACTTCTGTTAAAACGATGTGTGTGGTTAATTGAATGTTTGTATTATGGTTTGGTTACACGATTCAATATGTATTTGTTGGGTTACAGTTCCATCTACGCTCCATCGCCTTTCCTTATTTATTTGCGGGCACCTTCTAATTTAATGCTTTTTTGGTTTTGGGGCAGATAGAGCAACTAAAACAGAAGAACCTAAAGAGCAAGACAGCCATTCCTTTCCGAATTGAGCGCGCCTACTCAGGTAGTATGCTGGCTGTATCGTACGGCTGGCGCACCTGCTGCTGCCCGCCATGCAGTGGGGAGAATCTCATGGCCGTCGCTGTCGGGCACACCGTCCTCGTCACTCGAGCACATAAGTGAGTCTTCTTTCTCTCCCTCCTGACTCCTTGGAATACTCCACTCTATGCTCATTTCTTCGCTTCAGGGGGTGGTACTATGGTCAACTAGTTTCTGCAACAGAGGAGGGCGATGGCCATTCCGCTAAGAGTAAGTGTGTCCCCTCTCTCCTTCGCATTCCTGCCCCTATACCTTTTGCACCTGAGATTCTTCGCCAAATTCAACCACTACAGGCAAATTAGAGCCCTTTCTAAACATTTAATACTAAGGCTGTAGCGTTTATTTAATCGTTTTTATAAAATTACCTTCCCTCGAATGACAATCGTATTTAGCTCGCTCGTGCTACTTATTATTTGTTAGTAGCATTTAAAATTTTTAAATTTTAGCTCCCATTAAAGGGTGGTTCCCCAAAGCCTGTGTATCGGTCGCGGCGAACCGCAATAGAGGAAAAGCAAAACAAAGTTGAGGGTTGAACGCACAACCATTGTGAACCATTGCCTTTCAAATGACTTCTCCTTGTCGATATAGGTACCAAAACTCTATGTTCTTGTCTTTGTACGCATCTTTACATTTTTGATGAAATACAATTTTATCTGGTGGCGGGTGTTTTTCCATCTCTATGATAAGTGAATAAAGTCACTTGGCTCTTTACGTACAATGATTGCAAAAAACTGGAATGATTTGGGAATAATTACATCTCCGTTGTTTCGACGTTGGTATTGTTAACATTACTAACCAGTATTAACGCAGAAACCTTATTGCGTTATTTTTTAAGACTAAAACCTCCTTACAACCATCAAACCTGAAGTCTACTAGGATATTTCACACCTAAGAGTGACATATCGTCCTGATGGAGTGGTTAGCGCATTCGCATGGAAGTCTTGAAGATATTGGGTTGGCTTAAAAGCTACAACTTGTCCAGAACAATAGACATCAGTCTGCTTGCAGACCCCGTGCCTCTGCGAGGTGGACATGCGCTCGCACTCCATTGGGCATTGGCTCTACTCAGCCACGTGAGTCACAGCCAATCAGAGGGCGAACAAAACACTCGTTGGGCTATTTAAAAAGCCGATCGCCCTCGACTTCGTCAACTCTGTGTCAATGCTTCTGTCACTCATCATTCTCACGGTTTGCACATTTGCATTCTGCAATGCAGCCTCCACCTCGGCAAAATCGGTGCACTATGTGGTGCAAGAGGAGTGTGGACCCGGGACGTACATCGGGAACCCCATTCGTGATGCCAATATCCAAAGTGAGAATAAGCAACCCCTCTTCATCAAACTCATGTACAGTAAAAAGGGGGATTTTGCATTAAACGAGACTACAGGGGATCTTCGCACAACTAGGCATCTGGATCGGGAAGCTCTCTGTGGTCGTGGCGTGCACCCACGGAGGAAGCTCAACCCACTGCCTCTGCAACGCGCAGACAGCATCAAAACCCCTAAGGAAATTAAATACGCCAAAGTGGTCATTTCTACCGCTGCGTCATCGCAGAAGTGTCAAGTAGAGTTGAGCATGGTGGTGCACAGTGGGGACAACCTCTTAGAGACTTGGATAAACGTCCACATTGTCGTGCAAGACTTGAATGACAACTGGCCCTACTTTGAGGAAGGTTCTTGGAATCTTACATTGAGTGAACTTACCTCTGTTGGTGCCACGTTCCAGCTTCCACAAGCTGTCGATTTGGATGAACCAGAACGTTCCGTCCTGCGCTACGGTTTGGTCGATGAGAGCTTTCCCTCCTGTCGGAATCACTTTTCCATCACGTGTCAGTCTGAAATAGTTTCCTGTGACCTTCGCCTTGTTCTTGAGAAACCTGTGGACTTTGAAGTGTGCCAGCACCACCATCTGATCCTTTTTGCAGAAGACTCAGGCTCTACTGAAGCCATTCTGCCTATTTGCGTAAATATTAAGAACGAAAACGAGCACCAACCACGGTTTATTCAATCCAGCACCCATTTAAGCATCCCTCGAGATAGCCAGCCTAGAATTCCCCTAACCAAATTTCACGCAGTGGACAAAGACGCTGGGAAGGACGGTGAAATTACTTTCCTAACAAATTCAACCTACTTCGAGGTGACTGATGGAAAGTTACTGCTTACGAGAAGTCTGCTTCACTACCCGGAGAAGAAAATGAAAGTTTTTGTGACTGCTACTGATGCCGGGAATCCACCGCGTCAGTCAACCTTAGAGGTGGCTGTTGAAATAACCGGTGAGGAGGCAGAATTACAACCTGGCAAGATTTTCATCAAACCACTTGGAGGAGAGGCAATCAGTGGCTCCGACGCACCCATCCTGCTTCCCAATTCTGCGGAGAAGGACACGCTAGTTGCACTGATTTGGACAGAAGGTGGCACTTCCAAGGTTTCATGCTCTATGCATCCTGCTCTTTCACATTTTGCCCTCGAAAACGCCGGTCTCCTTATGGGTAAACCCACGTTTACATTGAAGGTTAACAAGTCATACAATTTCTCACAGAAATTTGACATTATACGGAGCCGTGTCGAGGCCCAGGATGTTCGTGTCACTTGTGGCAGCAGTCAATTAAGTCTTCATATTCGTCTAGCGCCTCCGCCGGGACAGCAATTCCGATTCCCTCAGAAGGAAGTTCACCTCTCTATCGAAGAATCCTCCAGCCCAATTATTGGTTTCTACACTCTCAGACCCCTGAATGGAGTTGGTGAGATTTATTTTAAAAAGGACTGCAACTCTCCTGAATGCGCACGTATGCATGTAAATTCAAGAACGGGAGTCTTATCCATTCCTCACGGGATTGATCGTGAGGTCACTCCAGAATTGCGTTGTCGTTTCTCCGCCTCCGATAGTGATCACCCCGCTAATCGGATTCGCGTTGATATTGTAATAACCGTGAAGGATATTAACGACTGTGCACCGTCATTATCCCAATTGTACTACTCTTTACCAGAATTTGATGGCTTGATGCAAACCCCCATCCTGCCCACTTGGATACCTCTCCTCAAACTTGATGCTCTTGATTTCGATGAAGGATTAAATGGATCAGTTCATTTTGAGCTAAGAAGTGTAAAAACTTTCAGTAACGGCTCCAGCAACGATCGTATTCCCAAATTTCGTTTATCAACTGAGTCTGGTGAGGTCTCCATCAAGGGGAAAGATTATCCTCTTTTAGACAGGGAGGAGATTTCAGAAATAGTGCTATTTGTTTACCTTTATGACTTGGGCAGTCCCTTTCGACTCTCCGCCACGTATGAGGTCAAGCTTACCCTGGAGGACGTCAACGACAACGCTCCAATATTCTTTGATTCAGAGAGCGAAGCGCTCCTCCGAAATATGCCCTGGTATCGCTCAACAGATCCTGTGCCTGGATTTTGGACTCAAATTCGCATCTACGATCCCGATCAAGGTGAAAATGGAACTACCGTTCTGTCAGTGCTTGAAAAGCCGCCTGTGGATTCCACAGACCCCAACTTGCGTCCACATCAGGTGACCCTCTTCAAGGACGGGCGATTATGGGTGGCAGAAGGGTTGGTAAAAGGTGTAGCCTTGCAGGTAGTCTATCTTCGTGCAGTTGACATGGGCTCCCGCCGTCAGCTCCACAGCGAAGCCAAACTCGTAGTCGATCCCGAGAGCGATCAGCATGGTCGTAATCAATTAAAGCGCCCGATGTTTGTGCGTAGCAATAGCTACAGCGCAGGACAATTTATGCAAAAGTTAGTGCGTCTCAAAGACACCTTCACGTCCGCCCCAGTTGCTATGAGTAAGGCTCACGTCATCCTCCTCATTGTCGGTGTCAGTCTGATCTGTTGCATTCTGGCCAGCACCTGCGTTGCTTGTGTGGTACTGCGAAAGTAAGCAACCGTCGCTGCTGGCACTCGCCCTCATCCGACCCATCTCTTTACACCAACGATATCTGTATTTTTCCACATGTATATTGTATTTTATGGACAAATTCATTCCATACTTGGAGGCAAGCGATTAAGTATTTCAGGCATCGTGACCCAGCACAGTTGGTGTCGGATGTCAGCAGTCTTTTAGGTTAGGCTATAAGCGTTTCAAAAATCTTAAACTTTGTAGAGTTTTTAAATTGATGATCACAATCACGAGCTTCGCAGGTGTCGTAAAAAAGTGGATTCCATCTATGGTTACTATGAGGTGTCGCACGATGATTAGTTCGACTTATGATTAATCTTTTTTGCAAGTTGTATCATTGTTGTCCATTTTTGCGCCTTGTCGTAGCGTCCATGAACTGCCTGCTGGGGAAAGATGTTTATGCGGTTTCACGAGCAGTTGCGATGGTTGGTGCTGGAGGAGGCACTCATTGGTAAGAGATTCATTCGATTTTACCACTAGTAGTGAGTCCTCATTGGGTCCGCTCCGGTAGATGAAAAAAGAATTCCTTTTGTCATGAGTTTTTGGCTCCAACAGAGGAGACCGGACCTCACTTCAGTTGCCTATTCACTGGGATGTGTTGGATTGCTCACCTAATTTGTACTGAGAAACTTTACTTAAAGTTGGGATGACAGAAACTCTTCTACTTTGAGGGTATCTTCTGCCCAAAATTGAAAGGTATGGTGTGTTCGGTACGAAACTCCCTTGCTCGATGTAGTGAATAGGTTCTTCCAACTTTTCACACGATCTTCTTCCAAATAATAGGTACTCTTCTAATACTTGTGAATGTAAAACCCCGCTTTCCCGTTGTATTGAATGATAGACAGAAACTTTTCCAAACTACGGTTAAGTCCTTTAACCCTTTGACGGTAAAGTACATCCACAATCAAAAGGATTTGGCTAGACAATCCTTCCTAAATACAATCCCAACTAGCTTACACTCAGAAAATTCATTAGCAGTTCACCTTAAAAAAACAGCTGAAGCTTAATTATGCGGATAGTTTGGAGTAAGAGAGCTATTTAACAGTTGGAAATTGTCTATAAAACGCCATGGAGCATATGACGTCTGTTTCGCTTACCAAAAGCTCATTTTTCGGACCCTCTTTTTAAGACCTTCCTTGATTAAGTTTGACTAAACGAATTAACATCTTCACTTGAAGAGATGCGATAACCGTAATCTGTAAAATGGGACCGAAAACTTTGCTATATCTTGCTACCTCCAAAAATGGATCTGGGTGTTTTCGGTGGCTGGTGGATGCGAAGTTAACGCCTAAATGGTGGATTCTTACAAGAAGACTATCTCAGTAACCAGAATGTTGCATCCATTATTAGCGCCATCCAGTACCAGATTAAGCGATTTAGACCTTTCTGGAGGGACCGATTTACAAAATATGCTTTAGGCAGATTTCCCGCCCGCTTTCCTTTCATCTTATGTTTATGAGATGCACACTTTGCTTGAATACCGTGGTTAATGATAGGTCGTCATTAATGCCGAATGAAACAGCTCACCTCACAGACCAAACCGTCCTGAGGTCACTCATCATCGAGGTGTGACCTGAATTTGCGTACAGCCTTTTCGACCTTTCGACATGAGCGATAGTCAGATTAACAAGTAACTTCATATTTAATAACCTCAAATGAAGACCTTGCAGCGGTGTTAAACGTCTTTCCATAATAGTTTATTATCTTATGAAGATGCGCATCAACAGCCTGCTTCACCCAGAGCCGCTTCAATGGATGGTAAGTTAAAGTTTCCCTTAAAACCGACGCCATCGTAACAGGAGAGTTCAATACCACAACCCTTTTCCGCCGGATATGCAACGAGGTGATCAAGAGGAGAGGAAAAGGTGAAGGCTGCTGGACATTGTAAAAATCTTGTTTGCGGCGTGGGAGAGAGCTGCCTGTCGCCCTGGGGGCTGAGACACTAGACCTACACCCCATCCAGTGACCGCAGTTGGGCATGTGCGCAGTTGCGATGAATAACGCGATTTCAGGGGCCATAAAACCACCTTTTCAACGCACCCATTGTTTTATCAGCGCAACTGCGCCACTTTGGGAATGGAAGTTGAGATACCACTTTAAGTTTAATTGGTGGATTGCAATTTTTTTCCAGAATCTGCATTGAGGAGTTGGGGAAAAGCAGCGGTAGCGAGTGATGTTAATTTAAAACAAACACCTGGATCTGGATCTGAAGGGTCGCCATGGCTTGCTGCTTTCAGATGGCATATTCAACAAAACAGCAAATGCGACACAGTTTGAGAGATAAATATTACTCCACAGTGTTTCGGCCGCAATTTTGAAAGAATACCTAATCACATCTATAATACAAGTAATATAGCATAACTTATAATTTATAAAACAAAATAGGAATGAGGGAACTCGTAACTGGAAGGACTCGATGCAAGGGCCCCTTCGACATTCAAAGCTGGACCATTTTCGAGAACCTAATTTATTCCTTTAAATATCTCAGTTTAGAGAGACTACCTGAAAAGGTTAATTTATTTTCATTTATTATTTGCTGGCGCTGCTGAAGTTGCGTTATGAATTCGTTCCAATGCTCGGCACAGTAGGTCCTGCTGTCATACCATCCAAAGTTTGCAAGTGTTCCTATGGCTCTGTTGGATAGAAAAACTCTTCAATCAGACCATCACCCTTGTGCTAAATGGCCTACTTATTTTGATCTGCAAATCAGCACTTTTCATGGAATAAATGGCCACTTTGCGACGTCTGTCAGATATGCCGTCGGGACGTAATAGCCTCACTTCCCAAGTGACAAGTTTTAAATGCCATGTAGCACGGAATGGTGTCTAAAACGCACTTTTAAGGATATTTAATAGAGTAAGGTAGGTTTTTAATACAGCACGAAACGGATGTTCTTTTGATATACCATCCTGATAAGGTTTACTGGAAATTTATGGACTTTAGCACTTTTCCGAATGCGACTCTTCCAGTTGATTGACGCTTCACGAAGCCTCGTTAAATTCCAACGCCCTGAAGCCTTACTGAGTTGTTGCAGTCAACAACCAAAGTAGCAAATTTAAAATGCCCCTGGTTAAGAATATAGCAATCGGTGATATACGTAGATTAGGAGTTTTAGATCCAGAAGGAATTAAGGAAGTTGATCCAAGAAGTTGGAGACCTCCAACAAAGGCCGGTATGTCGAAGAACACGGGAAGACTGGGATTTAGTTCTGTCATTTATTGCGAAAGAGATACATAACCTAGGCCTAAAATGTGTTGCATAGGTACTCCACAAAATGCTTATTTAATGGTTTGACGAATCGTATGATCGGAGGCGATCTCCGGCCGTCCCGACGGACTGCTTCTTTGGAGGCTGCTCTCACACGACTTCTGCTACTATGCACGGAAAAAAATGGTTGGAACTTCCCAAATTTAAATTGGTATGGAACTAAGAACTGCCTGATTCTAACATTATCATATTCCACTCATTCGCATCTCTGTTTGACCGTCCACCTTCTGTTTAAAGTGAAGGTCAACTAATCAGGTGCCACCGAGACTGTCATCCAACCCTCCCTCTACAGCGCCACTTACAGTGAGCTGGCAGTTTTAGTTATATGGTTAATGAGTTTGCATTTAAGTGTCAGTGGCGCTATGAATCACAAACTGTTTACATCTGACAGGGCTTGTTAAAAGGAGACGTGATTTCCCTTCACCTTAGGCGTCGATTGTAGCCATGGCAACGAATAATGGCATAAGGACTAATGAGTTGTGGGAGCGCTTGATTTCTGATTTTGCATTAAATTAAAAACACTTCTTGTCTTTTCAGGGAACAGGAAGTGATGGCGCGGCAATTTGCTCAACTTCTGCATCATTACAACTGGCTCAGGTGCTTCCACAAGCATTCAAAAAACAAAACCGTGTCAGACACTGGGCGCTCCGGACAAATCTCACTCTTGAGCAATTTCTATTTGCTGCTATAAAAGTAGGGCATAGAAATGCACCTGATTCTGGCTAAAATCTCGAATCACGCAAAACACTGACCATTGTTGGTGGTTATCGCACCATTTATGATGGGCGGATGCAATAAATTCCCCTTTTTCAATTATAAAATGTGACATTTGGGATGTACATTATTAGACTGTTTGAACACTGCCTCAGCAGCTTTACATGACACAAGAATTACCGAAAATTAAGTGATTTTTTTGGAGATATTTACCATATTGACTTTTAGCGAATACTACTTAATTCACTCGCAGGGGTATTTCAATAGCTAATTTCGTTCATCAAAATCACCAACTTAAATGAATCTTTTGTGGCAGGGAAAAAAATCACTGTTTACTACACTTACAACAAATAAGTAAAATAGGGGTGTTAAGTTCATATGATACAAGCGGTTTTAGGAATTTGATTACAAGTATTCACTGTTTTATCTGCCGCGGAGGCGAAGCTAATTATACCCCTTAAGGAGAGGCTGAAGGTTAAATTCTAGCCTTCGACTCATCAGCTAATTACCTCGGTCTATTATGCAGAGGCCAGCCCTATTGTTACGCCCATATCTACATTATGCCTCTTTATCCACGTCGTCGTGTAAGGGAGTCGTGGATGCCTTCTAACCGTCATTAATAATTTGAATGATAAACGGGGCTTTGGCTCTGGTGGTGGGCAAATAACCCCAAAGTAGTGAAAGAAACGGTGCATTATTTCTTAACGTTAACTTACAAAAATGAAGACGCCGTGATCGTTGCATTTTTGCATATAAGGTGTGGATTTTTAGAATAACTGACTACACTTTTCGGTAAGCTGCCACAATGTCTGCAAATTGACGCCAGATAGCGCCAAAATAATTATTCTTGAAGTGTATCAGCATGAAGAAGAGGAGTCAAGAGGTGGCCTAGTTAATGGCGATTATGCCTTAACTGTTTTTGCCTTCCATGGTGTGTGCGCATTCTATTTTGTGGAAAAGGCGGTTACTAATTTTGGCTTGTCTTTTGATGGCTACTAATATCTCTATTACAAAGAGGTGCCCTGCCGCGCTTCAGTCAAGTGTAAGTTCAGAAAGCTCATTCCATTCATAATTTGGACAGCTTGATTTATCAGAAAAATAGTTTTAATTTGTCATGAGAGATCCATCACTCTCCCTGTGACATGCTGACCTCTAAAACACAAAGATATTTATCACAGGGTAAACCTTTAAGGCATAAGTTCTGGTTCTTAAACAGTTCACTCTTGAGCTGTGCCATAAGTAGGTCTGATAATGACATGATGGAAGGCGTTCGCAAAGCTAGTAAATATGTAGTGACCCTGGGCTAAGACCACGTCATCCCGATAAAATTGACTTCTGGCAGTTGGGCTTCAGAGGTACACCTCCTCATTCAGTATTTTCACCAGGCCAGTCATGACACCAATAGCGGCGAAATAAGTGATTCGCATTAACTCAGTAAACTAAAAAGGGCCGTTTAAGATTTTATTATCTCACCTTTGTTGTTCGGGTTCCTTTGCTATCAAAGAGGTCAGATAGGTTATTGTTAAGATAGTTAAACCATGCTACTAGTTACTGGGACCCATTTTAAGTCGTTATCTCACTTTTTGAGATATGATAAAGAAAACGAATAAAGGAAACTATGTAATTTGTCAAAGTACTCTGCTTTTAAAGGCGAAGCCACAAAAAAAAATGTAAGATCGCGTCTCCTTTAGCACTTCAGGGTGGCAACGATAGCACGATGAATTTACTCGAAGAAAGCAGCTTCTGGCGAGAACACCTTTTAAGATGTTTGACATGTAATTATACACTCTGTATATTTTCAGTTTGCATTTTTCGGAAGCCACATCGGTTATACGTTCGACACATCAGAATTTGGAGGCTTGATTTGGCGGTCTAATAGGAGACCTAACACAATTTGTTTAAATTGGCAATTCCCCGTCCATTTTTGAAATCCATCCTAGATTTCTAGCTTTCAAGCCGAAGAACTGGTTGGTAACTATAATTAAGTCGCGGGTTACCACTTGCCACTTCGTAATCCGAATCTTCTTTTTAATAAATGAAAAAGAGGTAAGACGATTATTTCCCTCATCCTTGAAAGGCCGCAGTAACCATAGCAGCGAATAACGATGCATAAATTGACGAGTGCGCTGCACACCTAACCTGTAATCTCGCGGGAACACTTCGCGCCTTCCTTGTGATGAGGCAGTCTTGGACCGGCAATTTGCGTAATTTTCCCCTTAGGCATTTTGAGGGTCTCCTCGAAATTGGCACATTAAAATATGTTTGGCCTATTCAGAGCCAAGCTGCAAAAATTGCAGCCGCTTAATCTTTTCTGTACAGTCCAGTTGATTAGATTTGGAAACAGTTTAGGTCTCACTCGTAGAAGCATTTCCAACTCTACCTCCCGAAAATGATTAATACAAATGTAGCCATTATTGAATGGTCTAGTGCTCGCATGAAAGGCTGAAAAAAACTCGACAGTATTATGTTTCCTCCCCATAGATTGCTGAGTTTGTGCAGAACATAAACTGTGTTATCATGATATCGCAATCTCGGTTGTGAATCTAATGTCCAGGGCGT